CTATGTTTCATTAACTTAACTCAAGACTCATGAAGAAAGAGAAAAAAGAGTAAAACAGAAAATAAAATACTACCACACAAACAAACATGATGTATGTATGTATGTGTGTATGAGCAACCGTTAAAGAACCCACCTAAAATTAAAAAAATACCACCTACAAACATTCAAACCACCTACAAACATGCAAACTCTATATAACTCTATATAACTCTGTATAATAAAATAAATAAAAAAATTTTAAAAATAAAATAAATGAGATCAGACAGACTGCTTCAAGCGAGGCAGAATGCTGATCTGATTTTCATGTTGTCTCAGCTCCCCTATTTATACTCGTTTCAACCATACATTCTCATCATTTCAATCATTCGCATCAGTAAAAAACTTGTTTAATGTATATACTGCACTATTATACAGTCTTAACCACAATGCTAACCGTACTAAATTGAAGTCATCGAACGAACGCCTTCGAAACTTTCTGGTTGGCTGGTCGAATCTGCTATATTGCTTTTCATATAAACATATAATCTAATATAATATAATTTAATTATTTGTATACATGGATTCCAGTCACTTTATATATATATATATATATAATAAAAATCCGCTGCTTGAATCTGCTATATTACTTTTTATATAAACATATAATCTTATTAATTATTTGTATACATGGATTCTAGTCACTTTATATATATATATATAATATAAATTCATAATATAAGCAACAGCAATCAGTGCGATATATGTTCAAATTTCTCTGGGAGAATTCAAAATAGTTTGAGACCACACCTTGCTTAACATCCGATTCCAAGCCCAGTCAAGCCAAGCCAAGCTGAGCCAATATGCGTAGATTTATAAGTGCTTTTATATTAAAATTTTGCTCGTTTTATATACGAACATCCCAATATAACAAACTTTCCATCCTATTTTTAAATTTTTTTTTTGATGCTTGTTAATCAGTCAGGTCACAATCATCATCATCGATATCGCGATGAAATCAAATTGAATTTTTTGTTTGAAAAGGTTGTAAATTTGAATTTTTTAAATTATTATTTAGTGTGGCAATTAATTACTTTTATTTAGTATAAATTTAAAAAAAATAAAATCGACATTACCGATAATATTTAAAAGTTTAAAAAATTGAGGTTCTTTGCATATCCCTGCTTCAAACCATAAGAAAGTGTTGCATATTGGTGAATAGGCCTCCCATATAATTAGAATAAATAGAACGGCCTTCGCTCATTTTTGACGGTGGAACAAGGAGCTTACTTCCGGAGGGAAATTGGAGGGTGATTTTTTATCGCCCAAGTCAAAAGTTACGATCGTATATTTACTAATTTCGGAATATTGCTTTTATTTAAAATTTCAAAATGTTTTAAAAGGCACTAGATGCTGTTTTAGGATAGATATTGCGGTAAACAAGTATGAAACCATGCTTCCCGTTGTTTACATAGAATATTATTGAAAACTTTAAATTTGGCTCCGCCCTTAATTAATATTCATGACCAACCGAATCGCTTTTTTTCAATTTGTGATTTTTTTTAACCGAATCGTTTCATTTTTTTATAATTGTAATTTTTAATAAAATTCTAATATCATTATTTATTATTTTTAAAATATGTTATAAACATGAGAACTATTTCTAATTTTATTTGCACATTATATTTTCATATAAAAAAGAAAACAGAAGGCTACGATTGTACGTGAGCATCGCGCGTACCATTCATTCTCTTAAATTTTTGTTTGGCGCATCGCCACAAATTCTCCACTCCATTTGTATGCACTCCGTTTACGGCCCGGAACGCATTAATCCGTCCAAACTGTTGTACCTAAAATTATTAAAATCGAATTATATTTCATAACCAACAAAAATGAATTTAAAAATATTAAACTTTATGAAACCAACAGGGCAGAACATGTCGCTGCATTAATGGCAACAGCGTGGCAGCATCTCGTTTATTTACTTCCACCAGAAAGGCATCTTTTTGTTTGCGCATCGATGACTCCAAAAACCCAGCGTGACCTAACTGGACATGCATTTCGGTTCCTCGATCTTTTTGCAGATGAGATGCAGCTTTCATCTATCTGACCGATGTGTCCGGGGTCACCTATTCGTGCTGGGTTATCACGAGCCCAATCAATGCATAAATCTCGATGTAAATTGAACCAGTCAGGTAATGTGTGCCCGACGTCCAAATCTAAAATCGACGCAACCGTAGCCTGGCTAACGTCGTACATAGACAAGAAATACGTCATCTGTTTGAATTTAAAACAATACGCATCATCATTCTTAAAGAAATTACATTTTTTATAAACAATGAAAAAAAATCTCACCAAAATACATACCTAATTGTTTTTGTTGCGCGGCACTTGGAGTTTCTACACCTCCACAAGTAACCATCTGCCGTTGTTGCACTTTCTGCAAACCTTTTGTTTCATTATTTTTGAAAAAAATGAAAATCTGACAAACGAGAAAACTGTACAGCATGCAAGGCAGTAGTATGAAATGGTAACAAAAAATAGTTAGCGCATGTCATAGTGGCTGCTATCAAACCATGCTGTTTTGCCCACTTCACAGCATCTTCTTTCTTTAAAATATAGCCTATCAGTTCTAAAATTTTTATTAATGAAAAATATAAATAAATGCAATTGAAGAATAGAAGAGGAAACGGCAAAATTTGGCATCTAAATTATTAATAAAAATTTTAAAATATAATATAATATATTTGTTAAATAATTTATTACAATAAAATGAAGCGCTTCGGTTGGTCATGAATATTAATGACGGGCGGAAAGATAAGTTGAAAAAGATAAGTTGCCTATTTTTTCTAATTGCTTGTTTTTTATTTTAGTGAATTAATTTTTTTTTCAATTTATTTTTCAGTATCCGGTCAAATCCATTCCATCAATGCGTGTCAGATGATGGTCGGTGCAATGGAGGTTTGTCGGTAGTGAGTGAAGTTTCTGGAAAGTGCGCGCCCGCACATTTACATACACACACACATCAATACAACACATACATACACAACATCCATTCATTCGGTGTCGTTGTTGCTATGTTTCTCTTCAACTTTATATTTTCTTTACCGTGAACCGAGCTTTAATTTAATTCATAGGTAAGTTAGGGACTGAGTCAAACAGTTGTAGGTAGGCTAGGGCTTAACATTAGTTAACAAGCTTCAAGTAAAATAAAAACGCTAAAATATGTTAAATAAAATACTTGAAACATCTAAAACGAGAAATACAAATTTGTAGTTAAGTGAGTTGAGTCAATGTTTATAAGTAAGCTAGGGCCCTGAAAGTAATTTTATTATAGGTAGGTGACTGACTATTATTCTTGCGACTTCTTACTAGTTTTGTGTGATGTGTTTGTTTTCGCTTCACAACACCACCAACAAAACAAACTACATTTCATTCTTGTCGTCGCCTTAAATTGTACCTTTTTGAACAATCTTTTTAATAATGTCCATATATTTATTCATTAAATGTTGACTGGTTTCTAGTTTTTTTTTAATTGGTTATATAATTTTGGATATTTCTTGATTTACTTTGTATATATGCATGTATAAATTTTTTCTGTTTAGTATGTTGATTTAGTCATTATGATATGTTGTGAACTGTTCTTACTAAATGTTCATGTTACGTGGTTTATTATCCTTCGAGAACTTCTAAGGAGTGTGTATGATAATAATAATAATGGATAATAATTATTTTTATCGGTCGATATTTTGTTTTATTTGTTTATTTAAAATACGAATTTAAAAATAAAATTGACATTTTAAAATTTTAATTAGCCGTCACTTTTCATTTTTGAATGAATTCAAATAAAAGCAACTACTGTGTTTTTCTTTCTTTACTAAAATCTCGAAATTGTTTGTAGATCTGTACGGTTAACTGTTTGTTCGAGTTTGAACAGGCCTTGCAAATTTTTTTTATTTATTTTTGTTTTTATTTTTGTTTATTTGGTTCATTCAATTTAGTTGATTGATTGATTGGTTGGTTGATTGATTGACTGACTGACTGACTGACTGACTGGCTGGCTGGCTGGCTGACTAACCGACCGACCGACTGACCGACTGACTGATTGTTTGATTGATTTGTCTCATAGTATTGTATTGTATACATGAGAAAAAATCCGATTAAGCCAACCTACGGCTTCAGTAATCCACTGTTTTTCACCTGACAAAAGCAATTTCTATATTTATACTGACAAAAATAATTGTGATATGAATATATTGATTTATTTAAAGCATTATATGTACAAAAAAGTGCTATCGTAAGAGTTCTATGAAACCCTGTAAGCCACTGCTGTAAGCCAACGTATGATTTCAGCAGCCAGTTTCTTATGAGCACCAGCAGAATGTAAAATATTCATTGAATATAATGAAGATAGTTGTTCAAATAACAATTTTGATTTATTTAGGCCGTTTATTTCATAAGAAAACCAATTTTTAACATGATCGAATAGTGTAAAAAAAAAGGATGACTATAGTTCAATCCTACTAAGCCAACCTTCGGCTTCAGTAAGCCACCGGATTTCACCGGACCAAAAGCAATTTTTATATTCAAATTAACAAAAATAATTTAATAATACATAATTCTATTAATCATTATTAAAATTAAATAGAATTACTACAATGTTCTAAGCATATCAAATCAAGTAAATATTTCATTTAGCTTTCTTGTTAAAATCCATGCAATTTCGTAAGCCAACAATACAAGCACGACAAACAGCCCGACCGATAGATCGAATTGATCGATTAGTCCTATTATTCTAGTTATGTGGTTTGGAGCAAGGGGAGACATTACTGAAAATAATTAAAAGTTGAAAAAATTGAGGTTCTTTGCATATCCCTGCTTCAACCCATAAGAAGGTGTTGTCTGCTGGTAAATAGGCCACCCCTTGTATACATCCATGTTTTAAAGTGTCCTATTTTGTCTATGCCAAGAAATTGTTTAAAGCCAAAAGTAAACCTAAAAAATCGGCCTTTTTAAAACAAACAATGGCGTCTGTAGGCGATAATAAAACATCTTTTCGAAAAGTTGATGTCGACGAGTATACGGAAGAGAAATTTAAAGAAGATGACGACGAACAGAAACAGGCGAACGACGAATTACTTGCCGGATTGAATGAAACTGAAATTCAAACGATGTTGAATCAGTTAGTTTAATTTAGAGTGCTGTATGTAATTTGTTGTTGAAGTTGATCATGCAAATATAGGCCCAAGTGATGTGGGCGTACTATATAAAATGGAGGAAACAAATTTTCACCATTTTTTTATTATTTTTTTATTAAATCAGACTTCTTAATAAGTCTTTTATTGTATTTTTAATCAAAAAGATCTCATTATTACAATTACAATTACATTATTACAAAAAAAATTGATTACAATGATTAGTAATTAATTAGATTCTTTAAAATTTAATTAAATTAAAAATTAATTATTTTTATTTTTTAAAATTAGTAAATTAATGAAAAAACTTATAAACATATAAATAACTTTGAAATTGCAGATTGAAGGTTAAAATTAGTATAATTATAATTAATAACATCATTTTAATTAGACGATACTTGTCAGTTAATGAATTATATATTAACATTATTAACAAATTAAATCTCTAAAAATACAATAATTTTTATACAAAATTTTAAACAAATTCATTTCAGAGGTAAGAATATAGATGCACTTCTGTACATATTAAACAGGACACAGATTTCAAAAAATCCTGCTGTCAAGGTCATTTGTTATAATTAATCAATTAATTAATTTTTTAATTAATTATGATGAATAATGAAAAATTATACATTGTTGTGAATTATTATGAATTTATATGAATTATATCTATCCATGAATTATGATAGATATAATTATATATGGATGGTTATGAATTATCATGAATTTATTATGAACTATTATAAATTGCATTGTTATTATGCATTGTTATGAATTTATATGAAATATATATAACTATGAATTATTATAGATATGGTTATGAATTATCATGAATTTTTTGTGAATTATTACAAATAATGATGAGTACTAATAGGTAATAATGAAGTGTTATTGGTAAAGATGAATTTAAAAATGCTTTAAATCAACTAATCAAAATAATTTCAGATTTCACATACTTTTTTAAATATATAAATAAATTTATGATCAATGCTTGATTGTAATAATACTGTAAATTTCAATTACAATAATAATTAAATTAATTATTATTCTGGTAAATAAATAACTATAACAAATAAATAAACGATTTTGAATGTTCTGATATTTTTTGGTTAGGCCAAAACGTTACAACTTGCATTGAAAGTCATGCTGTCATTCAAGTCCTCTGAAATTGACCTGGCCCTAGGTCAGTTAGATGCGCCACAACATTTTGATCTGCTCATGAAGTATATATACAAGGTTGGCCTATTTTTATTCATCCATTTATTCATTTATTTATTCATTCATTTCTTCAACTATTCATTCATTCCACCTTTCATTCTTTCAATTGTTTGATCAATCGTTTTTGAAATTTCTAAGTTGGAGATATTTTCATTTTATCTTATTTAATAAAGTTGTTTGTTTGTGTGTGTGGTTGGCTGTTTTCATTTATTTTGTTGTTTTTTCCTTCATTCATTCACTCATTCATTCATTCATTATTCATTCATTTAATCATCCCATATTGCTTCGTTCATTAAATCATTCATTCATTTTTTAATTTGTTTTGTTTATTCATATGTTGAGCACAACACAAGGAACACAACAAACAACACTGTGAATAGCAAACAACACCACAGACAACAACAAACAACACAACAGACAAAACACCACGAACAACACTGTAATTTACAAACAGGGTTTTGAAGTTCCGTCAGAAGTCAGCTCAGCGCATCTTCTAACATGGCATGAAAAGGTTGTTGATTGCTGATTGCTGTTGATATTATATATAAATATGTATGTATGTATGTATGTATGTATGTATGTATGTATATATGTATGTATGTATGTATGTATGTATGTATGTATGTATGTATGTATGTATGTATGTATGTATGTATCAAATCAAATCAAATCAAATCAAATCACTTTTATTCAATCAAACAAAACAAAAGCATGAATGATTCGGAGACCAAAAAAAGAAAATTAATTCTTGTGGGCTCGGCCACCGTGCAGCTCAAAATTGCTTCTCAATGATAAAATAAAATTGTCAATAGGAGAAAATGTATCAATGTTAATGAAATATGTACACACTTATATACATATATATACATATACATTATTATCCTTGAAAAACAGAACTTTTCGTAATTAAAAAATTTTTCAGTTTATTTTTAAAAAGATGCAAAGTGTTACAATCTTTAATTTCTTGTGGAATCGTCTCCCATATTCCTGGGCCGGTATGTTTCAAACTCATGCAGAGTACTTTAATTCTGGCTGGTGGAGCATAGAAAAGTGGCGTGTGGCGTGTAGTTCTTGCTTGAATGGAAGTTCCAAAAGTGAAAAGTTTCTAAAAAATGC